TAGTCAAGTCCTATTGTCGCTGGACGAGATAGAACACTATTACAACAAGAATCAATGGTCGATTTCGTCACTTTTGTATATAAAACATTTTGTTCGAAAGAAAAGAATGAAACAAGTAACAAAATCCAATTTATCATCTGGACTTTTTATTTTATTCCTTTGTGTCAGTTTTTTTAGCTTTAGTTCACTATCCAACAAAGCTACATAATCTCTCGTTTGACACACAGAGTATTTCATATTGTTTTGCTGTTGACATTTTGCGCGCACTATTGAATGCAACGACGTTGATTTCTCTCGACGCCCTTTGTTTGTTGAAGCAAAATAAAAGCCATTTGCTAAGATTTTGCGTTTTTTTTCATTTCCAGTTTGCGTCTGAAGCAAAAATTGCTTTATACATTCCAAACGGTACAGTTAATTTATCTGAAGTGGATTTGTGGGAAAAAAACGTCATTGCCATCAACAGCACAATTTGATTATAGTAATTTCCAATTTTGCTCCTTCATTGCGAGAAAATTAATTATAGTGTTTCCACAGTTTAATTACAAACGCCAATGACTGGCTTCGTAAAAAAAAAAATATTTCCGAAATGAATAAGCTTAACAAAGTGAATTCACGCGCAGCTTTCGAGCATTTATCAAAAGTCAAGCACTTTGCTTGCTTCGAGCTCTTGGAATGAATATATTTCCAATTGGTTTAATCATTTTTCTTGTGTCCCTTCTCTTTTCTGTTTTTTGTCGATCATTTCTTTTTCAAACAGGTGGCAATTAATTTCACATGTGGATAATTCTATTTTACACTTGCGACACGCCACATATTGTACACGACAATTATACAAATAAATGAAGTCACATTAAATTTAATTGAACAATTTTATTGGATGGCACAAGTAAATAGTAAGCCGATAATGTGTGTTAATGTGAGATCGACATCCCATTAGGTAAATTAAATCCAATGAATTTAACATAAAAAAAATTATGATTTTTGTCTCGTGACCACATTAACACATCAATCGAATTGAACTGAAACGAAATAATACGTTTTTTTTGTTTCCGGCCAGCACCAATACCAAAGTAGCTCAGTCAATTTGACACATTTTACATGTAAAGCTTTTCGAATCCGATTGCCATTTTAATTTAAAAAAAATCAAAATGGTAAAAAGTCAATAGATTACCATACCAATATTAATTATTATTATTATTTTTGTTTCAATTGAAATAAACGGTTTTTTAAATTTTTTTTTTCAATAAAATAATAATTAGTGTGGTTTGGTGCATTGAATTTGAAATAACAATATGATTTGAATAAATTTGCAAGTATATATGTGGTTTAACCACATATCACCTGGTGTGTGAACACTTTTTTCTTCTATTAAATGTTTTTTTAATCGTTTTTTAATTAAGCTTTATTTTCATTCGTTGGCATATTTATAGAAATATTTTATTGAGCCGCTTCTGTAATAAAACCCAACAGATATTATCTACTTTCAGGCAAATTTTAATCATCATCATCAGTATAAAAAAATAATGTTCACTTTTTTGCTCATTATACTCGTAATTTTGTTTAAAATTGCAAAAAAACGGAGTTTCATTCAATTTTATTCTATGTGGTCACAAACAAATACAGTATTTTAAAATTAACACTGTAGTTTTAATGTTGAAAAAGGGATTTCAACAACTGCGCAGATGATACAAAAGTTAAAATACAAATTTATTTGAAAAGAAAGCTTTTTCCGAGATTAAATAGTTAAAACCAGTTAAAACGGACTGATTTTCAATTTTCGGTCGAAATCAAATCTAACGTTTATCGGACACATATTAGTAGAACTGTTGCAAGAGAAAATATCTGTACTTGGTTGTTTTTAAATTAATTATAATAAATCAATTAGATAAAAGGTATAAAATCAATTGTTCATTCTTTATCTACATAATTTCCATTTCAATATTAAATTAATAATATGAATCATGTGTAGGTTTGATTTCAAAATTGAGATCATCACGGCGTTAAATGATGGCAACAGAGAGAGCCAGCATTATTGAAAGTTGAAATTCCATGCATTTATAAAGATACAGAAGAAAGGAAACGGTAATGTACCCTGTTGAATAAAACCGAATTAGTATGTGTGTATAAAGTATGCTTTCTGGTTTCTAGTGTATTCGCATATGCAAAGATGAATTTATATCCGGTGTGAATGTATCTACATCATATTTACAATCGCTATTTATCAAGTTTTCCTTCCTATCTGGATTATTATTACGCTCTCAATGTAAATGAAATGCAAAGTGCTTTTATCTTGATCGTTTATCTGCTTTTATCAAGTGTTGTCGACTGGAAATTGAGGAATGGATGTTGTTTAATTAAAATGATCTACAATTCCGTGAAATCTCTTTAACCACACTAAAACCCTTCAACATCAACAATCTACTGCAACCGAAAATTTGCATAAATACACACACAAACACAAACAAGGAGAAAGAAATAAGCATCGAATGTAACAAGTAACTTATATTAAGTCGTTGATTTCACATTTGCAAATTTAGCAATCGAAATATGTTTAACGTAATTTTCACCGAATTGAGGAAGCCGAACGGTAAATCTGGTTGTCTTAACCAACAGTTTTGTATTACAATTCAAGTTCTATATTTGTTATTGTGAGATGCTTACCATAGATGTGGAAATTATCGTAAATCAAATCATACTTTGAAACTGGTCTCGATGGATAATTTCACTTACACTGCCAATAGATAATGTCCTGACCTTTTCGTGAAATTTTCACACATTTGTGATTGGCATTTAGTGAAATTCGAATGCAATTCAATATGACCGATTATAATTATTGATGTCAAATACACACCCACATATCCAACCAACTTTACCGTAAAATTGAGATTTTCTTTTGCTTTTTATTTACTGATAAGACTTGAAGTACATTTTGGTGAAAAAAAAAGAAAAATATGCTCCAGGCTCTCAATTTTTATATCTTCGGTGTTTTTGATAAAAAGAAAAGTCGAAAAAACTCGTCTTACACTGGCATCATTCGAAAATTTTATATTTTCCAACGCGTATTCACATAGTACTAAACGTAAACTGTGAAAAGCATTTCATGCATTGTTTGAAAGGTCGTTGTTCTGGCCTCAATTCATATTGCTCAAAAGATTGTTTAATGGGTCATTCATTAACAATAAGCAACTTCAATAGCAATTATTTCATTTTCTATGAAAACATCGCATTTGCGTAATTCTATATAAATTCCCATTTAATTTAAATTCCATTTGGCATAGTCCAATCAGTAACAAAATTATGATTCTCACAAGCGAGAGGAGCAATGTGGAGGAAAGACTTAACTTTTAATATTTTTCTTCTCACTGGGCGAAGATCTGTTCTTGCAGCTTCTCAAAGCGTTTCTCCTCACATAAATTGTGTAAACCACCTCGTCAGAGCCCAACTTAAATTGTGCTTAGAATACGGCTTTGTCCCATAATCAAGTTTATTTAAAGTAATTACTTTTCTAATTTTCATTACAACATCCACCACCATACAACAACAATTTTAATTAAAAATACTCGTTGCCAAGTTATAAAAAGCATAATTCTATTATTATACATAAAATTAGTTTCGTGATTATATGGTTTATAATTGAAATTACAATATTAGAATATTAGTAATCAAACAAATTTCCTAGTGTATCGTTTTCTTAGAACTTTGAATGGAATATTCTCAGAAGGTCGATGTCATGTTGTGAACATGCGGAAACAATAAAATCGATTTGTATACACATTTGTATCTCAATTTAGACAGCAATTCATCATTATGACAGAGAAATCTAATATTCTTGTACTTGGAAGAAGCGCAATTTTCTTTGTGGGTGGCCACTTGTATTGTTAGTCAGACGCACACTCAATGTCTACTATCGAGAATACAAACGAAAAAACATTGATTCAAGTGAATGATTGATTTTCAACCAGAGCATGAATCTGTCACTCACGAAGAGCGCTTACTAGGAGCCGCTCCTAGCTATGAATGTGTTAGTGTCACTAACGTTGTTTGTATTAGTGTGTGCTGTATACTAATACGAACTCAGGAGCGGCTCCTGACAAGTATATTACGCTCTTCTGAGGCGCTGCGCTCGCTAAGCAGGCACGTTCTTCACAAGTTTGATTTCATATTCTGTTTTCAACTAAAACACCTTCACAAAAGTACAAAGATGTCTCAAGCACAGCTTTTGACTTTTTCTGCGATAATTTCTTCTGTGTAAATAGAAATCAGAATTCAAGAAATCGAATACAATTTTTCTTGCATGTGTCCATTTAACTTCGTTCCTTGTTTGAATGAAGCCATCGTTTGTGAATAAATTTGAACAACGCGAAAATAATGTTGCTACTTTTAACCTAATTGAATCCAAATTGAGTAATTTCAAAGAAAATCCCTTATTGAATAAACAGGAAAAGAAATATTTTCATTAGTATCAATGAAATCGCATTCATTTGAAAGTTAACAAGCAAACATTATATTCAGAGCAGAGTCCAGGAATGAATTATATTAAAAATAAAAAAATACGATATTGCGATTTTCATCTTGAATTGGATACATTTTTTACAAATACTGAAATTAATCGCATAATCTTTTGAACATCATTCCCGATGAATAATAAAAATCTCTAGCTATAAATAGAAATTGAAATGAAGTGTTTTTTTTTTGTCTGCGATTGCCCGAATAACGGCAGATTAAGAATGTTGTTATTATGCAAAATTATGAAATAAAGTCTGTAAAAATATGTACGCGTAATAATGTAACACTTGAGCCCACTCGGTATCGACCTACTTGATTGACTGCAATTTCGAAACAATGAATTTCGTTCGGTACAAAAGAAAGCAGTTTTCAATATTTACAAATGGACCCAAAATGAAGAACGGAATAGTTTCAACATAAATTCTGTTTTCAAGTCACGAAAAACATTGAGTTCAGCACATTATAAAATGAGTAAACGTCTCGAAATGTTCAACTATTTTCGAAAAGTGTTTGTGACTAACTAGCTGTGTTTAGAGTTATTAAATTGAAAAATCTCAAGATGTTATTATATTGTTCACTTTTTGCTATTCTGCTTCATGGCGGTGCAGTAAGTCAATTTATATATATATGAGATTGGGACGGGCATTGCACTGAATATATGTCTTTTCAAATCTAACAAAATTTTGAATATAAATTGCAGATCAGCATGGCGATAGTTTCGAATGAAACACAAACGGTTGACTTTAAATATGAGCCGGGTTCAATTGTGCATTCAGGACGAGTGACTGTGCGTCAGATAGATGCTCCAGTGCAGCCAATTTTCGTTTATCGCAAGTTTCGCATTCAAAATACGGACAATAGACAAAACAACTTGCTTAGTTTGCTGAACATTGACAATTGGTTGAATGCAACGCAACAACAACACCAACAATAGCAGCGATAACAGCCAACATACATAGCATATACGCATCGAAACGATGAATACAAGAGCATACGACATTGTAAAATGATTCTGTACATTACCCAAACTTAAATAAATCGCGAATTGGTGTGACAATATTGTGCGTAGTTTATCTCTTTTATTTTCTTTTTTACATTTGTTTGTGAACTTTGTGAGCGCGAATGTGGGAGATACGTTTGAGTGAAATATGCTTGGGAATTTGAGTGTGGATAAAATTGTAATTCAGCGAATTTATGTCGGATTGTTGGTTGTTCGTATTCGACGACTGTTCAACTATGTTCTCATGTGTGTTGCTTTTGTAAATGACATTGAGATAGATGTATGCTTCGTTTTGAATGTGCGCTTCAAAATACATACTCAATCGCTGAATATGTGTGTGTGAAGCAGATCTGGTGGTGTGTGCTCTTTATGGTTTGATGTTAACAGTGTAAAAACTTTTCTTTGTCATGGTACCCCGCGAAATTCACAATGCAATTTAAGCTCTTTTCTTTTCTCATGGGAGAATATGCATTTCCGGCACACAGATAAACAGCAACTTGTGAACCAGGGGAGTGGAAATGAAAAAAAAACTCGATGAAATAAACGTGCACGCGGTACAAGGTAAACAAATGCGTCTGCAAAATGTCTGGAAAATCGTTTGAATTTTTCATTCAATCAAGATATCATTTTCATTCATTTATACGATGCATTCTCTGTTTTACGTGCATTTATTCAAAGTAATAGTTCAATTCCGGTGTGTATTCGTGCAATGTCAGCACTCCATACACACCTTGAATTTGAAGGGATCATGCACATGCACATCTTAACTTTCACATTAATTTAAAGTTTAGCGCTTCGTTTTATGCCAAGGGAGGAAAAAAGAAAATCCAATTAAAAACCATACAAATAATGTTTACAAAAATCACTTATACTCTGTTTTCATTATGTGCATCAGGAAAAATGATTGCATTTTCTTTAATATATCGGATCGTCTGATGTGAAACTTACAGTTTCGTGGAAAAGACACTTGTCTATCATTCAGCTTATGCTTGACTCTCTTGCACACAGTTTAAGCCAATTTTTATTTGTGCATTACATTTTTTTCAAGAAAATATGGGTTAAGTCAGTGAAACCGGATTTTGCTTAATGTGAAACGTAGTTTTATACATTAAGCTATGGAATAGTAAGATATATATATCTATATCTATAAAAGCGAAAGTATGTCTGTTTGTTTGTTCCGGGTTGGCGTCCAAACGCCTCAACCGATCCGGATAAAAGTTATACCGTTGGAAAGGTCTCGGCCGGGCGGTGAACATAGGCACCATCATGGTCGGCCATCGTGGTCTAACACGGCCATTATGGTCAAAAAACCGTATTTTCACATTTTATTGTTAGAAGGTGAGAATGCACCGTGGTAAACCGTAATAACCGTGATGACCGTACATGATGGACAGTGGTAAATGGTTTGAAATGTAAAAATGTCAAAAAACCGTAATTTTGCCTATATTTTGTGTATTTCGTATTTCGACGAATATATTTTACGAAAGGCGAAAATGGACCGTGGTAAACCGTGTTAACCATGATGGTCGACCACGATGAACCGTGTTAAACAGTGGTAAATCAGAAATTTTATCGATTTAAACAATTCTAATCAATTTTCAACGATGGTAGGCCGTGTTAACCGTGATGGTCGACCATGATGGACCGTGTTAAACGATGGTAAATGAAAAATTTTATCGATTTAAACAACTCTAACAATTTTCAACGATACGATGGACCGTGTTAAAACGGTTTTTGAAGTCGAACATCATGGTACATCGTGGTAAAACATCATTTAACATAATTATTTGGACCATCACGATCGACCATCGTGGTCTAACACAGTCATTATGGTCAAAAAACCGTATTTTTACCGTATTTTGCCTAAATTTTGCACATTTTATTGTTAAAAGGTGAGAATGGACCATGGTAAACCGTGGTAACCGTGATGGCCGACCAAGATGGACAGTGGTAAATGGTTTAAAATGTAAAATTTTGACGATTTAAGCCATTTTAACATCATTTAACATGGTTATTATGGTTGAACATCACGGTCCATCATGGTATAACATCATATAACACGTATATTGAGGTGGTACATGGTTATTGAGGTCGGACATGACAGTACATCGTGCTCTAACATCATTTAACACCGGTATTGAGGTCGGACATGACGGCACATCGTGGTCTAACATCATTTAACACCGTTATTGGGGTCGGAAGTGTATGTTACCAAAATATTGTTTGTAAAATAACGGATAGGCACCATTATGGTCCGCCATCGTGGTCTAACACGATCATTATGGTCAAAAAACCGTATTTTGCCTATATTTTGTGTATTTCGACGAATATATTTTACGAAAGGCGAGAATGGACCGTGGTAAACCGTGTTAACCATGATGGTCGACCACGATGAACCGTGTTAAACAGTGGTAAATCAGAAATTTTATCGATTTAAACAATTCTTATCAATTTAGCCCGTTGAGAACTCTGATAAATAAAGGGTAAGGTTACTCGCTCGCTTCGCTCGCTCGTAACCGTCCAACATGAAAAAAAAAACAGTTTGTTTTCAATATACTATTTGCATGAGGTAGCTGCTACGAGCGCGCGAAGCGCGCGAGTAGTTGCTAGTATATATATATATATACTAGCCGGCCTCCGCTCGCTTCGCTCGCTACGGCACGCTCGCTCCGCTCGCTCGGCTAGGCATGTTATTGTAATTCCTATCTCTGAAATTACTATCTCTATAGATTTTGACTTTATTAAATTTTGTTCATTCAATATTAATATCAATTTTAAGTCATGGACCATGTTGTCCGACCTCAATAGCCGTATTAAATTTTGTTAGACCATGATGTACCATGTTGTCCCACATCAATAACCGTGTTAAAAGTTGTTAGACCATGGTGTACCATGTTGTCCCACCTCAATAACCGTGTTAAATGTTGTTAGGGCATGATGTTCCATGATTTCCAACCTCATTTACCGTGTTAAATGTTGTAAGGCCATGATTTACCATGTTGTCCCACCTCAATAACCGTGTTAAATGTTGTTAGGCCATGATGTACCATGATTTCCAACTTCATTTACCGTGTTAAATCGTGTTACACAGTAAGAAAATATCAGCCGACGCTATACGCAAAACCGACTGGTACGTGCGCCCATACGTTTTTAAATCTTTTACATCTAGTGACCATACGATTTTTCGACTGATTCGTTACTCTTTGTGCGTATCTTCGCACAGTCGAAAAATCGTATGGTAATAGATGTAAAAGATGTAAAAACGTATGAGCGCACGTACCAGTCGGTTTTGCGTATAGCGTCGGCTGATATTTTCTTTCTGTGTAGACTATGATGTACCATGATTTTCCACCTCAATAACCGTGTTAAATGTTGTTAGGCCATGATGTTCCATGATTTCCAACCTCATTTATCGTGTTAAATCGTGTTAGACCATGATTTACCATGTTGTCCCACATCAATAACCGTGTTAAATGTTGTTAAGCCATGATTTACCATGTTGCCCCACCTCAATAGCCGTGTTAAATGTTGTTAGGGCATGATGTACCATGATTTCCAACTTCATTTACCATGTTAAATCGTGTTAGACCATGATGTACCATGTTGTCCCATCATAATAAACGTGTTAAATCGTGTTAGACCATGATTTACCATGTTGTCTCACGGTCCCACCTCAATAACCGTGTAAAATGTTGTTAGACCATGATTTACCATCTTGTCCGACCTCAATAACCATGTTAAATGTTGTTATACCATGATGTTCCATGATTTCCAACCTCATTTACCGTGTTAAATCGTG